GCCCTGGGACGAAATTTCTCCCCCAGACCTCCCCCAGATCCGAAGGCGAAAAATCGCAGTCAGTCTGAGAAGGAGTCCCCCAAAGACCATCCCAGGCAATCTGTGAAGCTGGCTCCGTGCGTGTAGGAATCCGCAATTTGAATCCTGTGGAGCAGATGCGGCTGGTCCACTGGGCACTAACAAGGGCTATCGGTAAGACGGCCTCTGGAGCGCAGCTGCGAATGGGACCAAAATTTTGGGTTTCACCCACAAGCTAGGTTGGGTTCTGATAACGTGTCTTAATGAGTCAAGCCAGGACTGGATTGTGGGTGAGGTCGAAAACTGAAACCCTGGCCGGAGGCAGAGCTCTCCATAGCACCCGAGACCGAACTAAGCCTCAGCTGGACATCACCTTTCTGCCCCGCAGCGAAGCTGACTCTCCAAAGAAGGCGGCGGTGTTGTTGAGGTCACAAAATGAAGGACTCCATACCGAGCTCTGGAAAACCTTCCACCGTAGGGACGAGAAGAATAGGTTGCTAGTAACCTTTTCTCTGGACGACCCATCGGCGGAGGCTCTCAGGCGGCAGACGACAGAGTCGTTCTTGACTTTAAGATGATAACCTTTTTGGTCAGGGGAGGCTCTGACGTAGCAATGGAGCCTGAATCACCCCAACTCCAATCCCACCAGCCCTCCACATCTAGGGTGACACTGGAACGTCATCAGCGAGGTGACTGAGACCCAAGGCGCTGTTCTCGCCTCGGTCCACTGGAGTCGGCCAGAAGTAGGGGGAAGGGAGGTGGGAGTGATAGACCGAAAGGTAAGGGGGGGGGGGGGGTAAGGGCGCTAGTAAAGGACGTTTTCGTGACCCCTGCTCCCCTTCACCCGCCCCACCATCTTCACCATGCAGCAGCTGCTTCTGCCGTGGTGGAGGTTTGCTTCGCAGAGGACAACATCGACCTCGTTGTACAAGAGGGTAGACCTTCGCATTGACACACTGGGTTATGCTGATGACCTTGTGATCATTTCGAGGGGCTTTTGCCAAAGTCCTTTATAACTTTAATCCTACAAAGAGCCCTAAACACCATAAACAACTGATACAGGGATAACAGTTTATCAGTTAATGTTAATAAAACTGTTATACGTAGGTCACTCAATAAATTTTGAGATGCTCGAAATTTAAAAATGGAACGGGTGCGTTATATATTTATAAAAAGAAAATTTATTTAAAAATAGAACTCCATAAGCTAATTGCTCAATAGTAAAAAAAAAAAGATCTATTAATTTTCCTGCAACACTTCCCGCGCTTTTCATTTAAAACTATGGATCTTAATCATGAACATTTGCGCGCTATGATATATTATGATTTTAAATTTGGTTTAACCAAACATTTAAGTTTACAACGGTTACAATCAGCATTAGGTGACTCAGTTTCATCACGCGCAACAATCTTTAGGTGGTTTGCTCATTTCAAAAGGGGTAAAATTAATCTTAAAAATGACCAAAGAACCGGGGCCCCGCAAACAGCAGTAGCGGCAGAAAATGTATGGACTACTGAAATGTTGGTGTGAGAAGATCCAAGACCAAACACATATACACGGACATTGAAAAGATTGTAGGCGTTAGATCGGGGAGCACTCATACCATCCTACATCAACATCTTGGAGTGAGGAAGCTTTATTGTCGATGGATCCCTGGTTTGCTCTCCGAAATCGAAAAACAGACTCGTGTGGATTGGTGTCATGAAATGCGTCTACGTTTTGAAAACGGGGCATCTAGGCATGTTTCAGAATTCGTTACTGGTGGCGAGACATGGATACTTAACAGTGGTAGAGCCACGCGGCAGCTTTTGCTGTCGCACGGATGGGCCGGCTCGAACCGGGGTGGTACCACGACCTCACAGAAAACCAGCGTGAAGTAGAGGTTTACCTCTGCGTTTCGCTTGGTAAGTGCAGGTGGCCGGAGGCCCTTTTTACTGGAAATGAGGCATTCCATCTTAGTCCTCACGGGTGACAACGCATCTACATTTTGATTTCTAATAGAGGATAGATGTAGATGTCTATGGGCCGCAGCAACCACTTACCATCAGGTGGACTGTGTGCTCGTTTGTCACCCTTATCCTATAAAAAAAAATGGATCTATCAATATGATCCGGAAAATAAAAGGCAATCATCGGTATGGGTCTACTCAGAAGGACAGTTACCTACAAAACTGCAAAGACCTCACAACGTCGGCAAAAAAATGGTGGCTAGTTTTTTTTCGCGGAGCGGATATTTGGCGACGTCAATGCTAGAAAATTGTAGGTCAGTCAACTCTGAATGTTATACTACTACAGTTGCATTATCCAAAGCTTTTCAAGCTGTGCGGGAGAAAAGACCAAAGACCGGGCTTCGGGGAATCATGCTGCATCACGATAACGCCTCTTTGCATACCTCCCTTAGAACAAAAGCATTTATTGAGGAACCTGGTGTTGAAACTCTAAGTCACCTACCCTACAGCCCTGACGTAGCTCCTTGTGATTTTTTTGTTCCCAATAGTCAAAGAAAAAATAAAAGGCAAGTTTTTTTCAAGCGCCGAAGAAGCCGTGGCTGTCTACGAAGAAGCGATTTCCGACCTGTCAGATCAAGAATGGCAAAAGTGTTTTCAGAGTTGGTTTAGGCAAATTGAATTTTGTATAGAGCATAACGGAGAAAATTTTGAAAAGATGTAAAATAAATATTAATAGTATCTAGAATACTTTTTGTGCATCTCAAAACTTATTGAGTGACCTACGTAATACCCTTTACCAAAAAGAGATGGTTAGACAAATTAGTCACACCAAAACTTAATGGTAAGGAATTACCATTCGCCACTGAAGTTCAGTACTTAGGCGTAAGAATCGACCAAAAACTAACGTGGAACTCTCACCTTAGCAACTTATGTCATTAGGTTAAAATTGCTTTAGGTACGTGGGTCGTATGGTCGGGAACAACTGGGGCTTGCGTCCCAGTATGATCCTATGGCTGTACAGCAGTATAGTGACGCCGATCCTTACCTACGCCTCCACCGTCTGGTGTAATAAGGCCAGTCAAAAGACGACTGTGGACAGACTAAATAGTCTACAAAGGACTGCCTGCTCAATGCCAACTGGAGCGATGCGAGCATCGCCTGGAGCGGCTCTTAATGCACTTCGAGGCATAACGCCCCTTGATCTTTACTTAGACGAGGAGGCGAGGGCTAGTTTGTATAGGATTAACGCTCAGGGTGGTTTGAGCTTGCTTTCCTAAAGGAAAGTATTCGACATTGATCTCAAACTATATATCCAAAGATCCATGCTCGACTCAATTAAGGAAACACTGGTCTTATGCATCATCTCAGATATCATGCGCCCACTAAATAAAAAGTATACTCTCCAGAGAAGACTGGCTGAATGGACAGGTCATCTGTGAGGTCAGTAGCCTTATATGGCATACCGATGGGTCGAAAATGAGCCTCGACGTGGGCTTTGGAATTCATGGGGAACGCCCCAAATTCAAACTTAGTATGAATTTGGGTAGATTCACCCCTATCTTCCAGGCAAAAATTTTCGTCATAATTCAGTGTTCGAAAATCACCACTTTAACCACATTATCTGTTTTACATAATAATTTCTTATATTTACGCGAACACTACACATTGAATGAAACTAGTTTTACGGATTTTATCGCGTTTAATTAACTTATTTTATATTGCCGATCTAATTATGACATAAATATATTGAATAATAACTAAGTTTTATTATGTACATTTTTAAATAATGACCTTGCAATATTTCAAAGAAATAAATAGTGACACATTTCATTGTTTTTTATTCATTTAAATTTTAAAATTAATTAATAAATAGTATCAAATATAATGTAATTACTTTTACATTTAGTTTAACATAATTATACGAGTATAAAGCAAATTATTCATCCTATTGGGTATCAAAAAAAAATCATCACTAAAGAAATCGTCTAATGTTTAATATAGGCTTTGTTTATTAGGTCATTGACAAGCGTTTTTTTTTTAAGATTTGACATTTTTTTATATCTTTGATTTTTTTGGGTATTTTGTTATATATTTTTGGCGCCATGCAAAATACGCTTTTGTTAAATAACGCTGTTCTAGTTGCAACAGAGCAGAGTTTATCTGTGGGTCGCAGACTAACATGATGTTCATAAAGATGAATGTTCCTTTTTACGAACATGGTGACCTCTGAAATATATAATGAAGTAAGAGTTAATACTTTCAACTTTTTAAAAGATGGTTTACATGATTCAGTTTGCTTTAGATTGCATATATGTAGCTCGTATGCACCTCTTTTGTGCTTTAAAAACATTTTCCTTATTAACTGAGTTGCCCGAAAATAAAATACCATATCTTAGTATAGAATCTACGTAACCGTTATATGCTGTAATCCGTGTAGACATATTGGTAGTTTTAGAAAGTTGTCGAAGTGCATAAGAAAACGTATTAAGTTTCGTACACACTATATCAACATGGGACTTCCATGTTAACAAGTTATCAATTTTCAACCCTAAGAAAGTTGTATTGTTAGTTTTACCAATATTTGTATCAGAGTGATGTAATATCTGAGCGGATCGCCTTCCTTGAAAAGTTGTGCATTTAGTCTTATTTAAATTGATTTTAAGATTATTAAGATTCAACCAATCATTTATTTTATTAAATGTGTCATTTATTTCATTATTTAAGGCAGTCAAATCTGTAGGCATGAAAAGGACAGTACAATCATCTGCAAAAAGTGTCATGGGGAAGTTTGTGACTAGAGGTAAGTCGTTGATATATACAAGAAAAATAACGGACCAAGAAAACTTCCCTGGGGAACACCACAATTCACAGTTCTGGATTCGGAATAATGTAGGGTTTCCAAATTTGTTTTTTTGTCTATGCTTTTTATTACAATAATTTGTTTTCTATTAACTAAATAAGATCTTATTAGATTTAAAATGTTTCCTCTCACTCCATATGAGTACAGCTTATCTAAAAGAGTTTCGTGTTTTACATTGTCAAAAGCTTTTGTTAAATCCATAAAAAGAGCAACACAGGGGCATTTATTGTTTACATTTCTCATTACTTTAAAAAGAAAATTATATATTGCCATGTTAATTGTCTTATTTTTTCTGAACCCGTATTGTTGTTTTGTAGAAATATTATTTATTTCAAAATGCATATATAAAGCGTTATATATCACCCTCTCAAAGGTTTTTGAAATAATAGGCAAAAGGGCTATATGACAATAGTATTTAATAATTTCCTGGTTACCTTTTTTGAATAGAGTTTTGACTATTGTAGTTTTTAATTTATCAGGAAAAACGCCGCTAGTGATACACAGGTTGATAATGTAAGCCACATAGTAGGTTGAGATAAAGTATGACTTACCTACATCTTTTATAACATTCGTTATAAAGCCGTCAATACCTGTACATTTAGTATTTTTAACGTAATAATAATTTTAAATATGTCATACGGAATAGTAGGATTCATGAATATCGAATCAGGATTGTTAAATGTCAATTTATAAGATTTAGTCACCTTACTTTGTGGTGAAACACTGTCAATAAAATTATTATTAAAGGCAATTAGCTATTTTATTGGGATCAGTCAAGATATTTCCATTATCGTTTATTTTCGAAACAATATCGTGGGGATATTTAGCCTTAGCTTTTGCATTTTTTATAATATTCCATATTGCTTTAGATTTATTAGTGGATGATGTAAAATAATAATTATTTTGTGCTTTGCGTGTTAAGTTAATAATTGTTTTGTATCTCTTAGCATAAGTTTGAAATATATTTTTATTTTTAATCGTGGGAGCTCTTCTATATTTCCACAGTAACTCTCTTTCGCTTGCTACACATTTTAAGACAACGTGTAATCCATTTAGGCTTCTTTAGAGTGGACAGTTTAACTTTCTTTACTGGAAAAAAGAGTTTGAGTAAATCGTGAAACTTATTATAATAATATTATATATTACGTAGTAGAGCCATGCTGCAGCTATTTTAATAGTATAGTTGTAGCACGAATGGGTCGACTCGACCGGGGAAGGACCACGCTCTCACAAAATACCAGCGTAAAATAGCAGCTTAATGCTGCTGTGTTGCGTATGCTGAGTGTAGAGAACCGGAGACCCGTTTTACTGGAAAAGAGGCATTCTATCTTAGTCCTCACGGCTGATAACGCATCTGCATTTTAATTCGCAAACGAAGATAAATGTAGATGTCTATGGGCCACAGCAACCACTTACCATCAGGTGGACTGTGTGCTCGTTTGTCACCCTTAATTCATAAAAAAACAGCATCATTAGGGTCATTTGCTTCATAAACTTCTTGGAACGATAGAGATTTTATGGAATTTATAAATTTGGTTCTATTTTCCAAGCAATAGTTTCTCCTTTTTGCATACCAGTACTTAATATCGTTGGTTCTCAATAGGACCATTTTTTTAATAACTGGCTTTACGGCTCTGGGTTCTAGCCCTTCTGAGCCTGAAGTTACAATGTATAATTATCCTTCATAGTACACTGCTTCACAATATGTTAATGCGTCACATTTTGCTGCCCTTGGGAGATTTTGACGGCAATTGAGCTAGCAGACAGCTGACAGTTGGCGATGGTAACTCAAGGCGCCTAAGCCGACAGACACCTTATCTTGAGAATCAAATCACAATCAGAGCACTTGTTTTACCGTTTCCACTTATAGTTCACATGCGTAGACATTTAATACACAAAATTGCACCACTTTTATATATATCAAAATCCACTTCAAATCATTATTTAAACAATAATACCGGAGCAGCAATCCGTTGCCGGTCAAGTTCCCGCCAAAACCTACTTAATGCCAATAGTAATGAAGAACGTGGACTACTGAAACAAGTTTTCTTTTAAGCTTGCTGGAAGGACCTATCTACTGTTTATTTTATTTATTACTTACAAAGAAGATAACACTTATTTTATTATTATTTTGATTCTTAGATCCCCATCTAGAAGGGCATAGATTCCATCCTGCGACGTCTGCTTACTTTAAAGATAGCTTGAGATATATTTTTCTTTACTCACTGTCAATCATTCTTTTCATAATTCTTGATTTATCTCTCCTTTGCTCTACTTTCAATTTTATATTACAGTAAAAAGTGTTTTAATTTGCTTTTAAAAAAGAAAATGCATTCTTATACCGTACTAGTTGGTTCCCGGCCCGTTGCTGCCGCAGAAAATATAATTGTGGAAATAACATTTTTAAATTTGATTGTTTAATTGAGAATGATAACACATGCATTGAAATAGAATAGTTATATTATATAACTTTTAAATACATTTGTCGGTAAGTAAATTGTACTATACCCATAACCTTCGCGCAAGCGCAAGCAAAAAGTTAACAAAGTTTTAGCGCAATGATGAACGGTATGGCAACGCATAAAATAAGAACAAACACACATTAATTTTTATATATTAGATTATACATTAGCAAATACTTAGAGAACAAACAGCTATAACAAAATGAGCCATATACTTTGACCGCACCCTTAAATCTTGACCGTGTGGACATTAAAATTTTCACGATCCCCTTAAAAGTGTTGTTTTACTGTTCATGGATGTTATGGCACCGGTCTGAACGGTGCGATTTGGTGTAAGTTTCATTTCCTTTTATTTTTAATAAATTTTAAACCTAAAAAATCTTATGTCTTACTATTTGTTCAAATGCAAAATGAACTATGACCTGATGGTAAGTTTGATGAACCAACCCATTCGTGCTACAACCGTAATATGGCTCTACCACGTATAAAAATATGACTACGTAAAGCAGCTAAATAATTTTATTTATTACTGTCCTTATTTTTGAGGTTCGGTAAGAAGAGGTCAACGTCACTTTAAATCAATATGCCCTACAAAAGCTTAATACCTGTAATAAATTCAGTTAATTAATGTCTATAAAACGCGTATTTTTTTTTTTAATAGAAGAAGACATGATAAAGTAATACTTGTATAAAATTCAATTAATTAGAGCCCTAGCTGCTCAGGGGTTTGTTCCTTTCTGGCAGTTAAGCGGCCCGAGTTCAGTTTCTGCCAACCAATGACTCTATAATTACAATTTTATGTGCTTATGTGCAACGTGCTCAGTGGTGAATGAAAACATTCATGTCTTAGGAATAAAAATATCTCTAATACGTGAATGTTTTCATGACTATAGTGAAGATGTTTGAAGTCCGCCAACACACTTTGGAGCGGTGGAGGACTGATTGCTCCAAAGCTCTGTCGGAAATTAAGGAGCTGTGAAAATTAAAATCATAAAAGTAAAACCAGTCTTTAATATATACATTACCCATGCAGCTTAGCCCAAAGCGTTCATGGGAATCTAGACACACCGCATTTTGTTAGCCAAGTTCGGAAACGGAAAGGGCGAAGCGCTAGCCTTTTTAAATGTCGAGCTACTTTCGAATCCGCCATAACTCAAAAACTGTTAGAACAAAATAATTACATGAAGAGTTTTTATTAAGATCTGAATAATGTTATTTTTCCAGTCACTGACTCTCTAGTCAAAAACCTAGAACATTTGTAGGTATCTTAGAAACTTGAAATTTGACATCATGATAGATCATACACGAGAAAGAAGTTTAAAATTGATCGATATTCAGTGTCGAAAAGGTGTCGACATCGTTATTAATTTTGTTGACATTTAATTCAAATAAAACAGTGAAGTGTTAACTCAAGAAAATTGTTGAAGGTCATATATTTATTAAGATTAATGGACAGATAAAACTTTTTAAGACGGTCGGCGTTATCAGCTTCGCCTATAAAAGAGTTGATATCTGAACAGGAGCCATGTACTCCTGTATGTATTTATTTATTTATGTATGTATGTATTTTCTGTTCAAAATTTGTAATTTTATACGTGGTAGAGCCATGCTGCAGCTATATTAGTAGTATATTTGTAGCATGAATGGGTCGGCTCGACCGGGGAAGGACCACGCTCTCACAGACTACCAGCGTAAAATAGCAGCTTAACGCTGCTGTGTTTCGTATGGTGAGTGTAGATAACCGGAGACCTTTTTTACTGGAAAAAAGGCATTCCATCTTAGTCGTCACGGGTGACAACTCATCTGCATTTTGATACTTTATTGAGGATAGATGTAGATGTATATGGGCCACAGCAACCACTTACCATCATGTGGACTGTGTGCTTGTTTGTCACTCTCTCCTATAAAAAATTCAATTCTGGAAGCACTTGTTGAAATCTGATTAAGCTGAAAATAGCATACTTATGGAAACTTCGATGACAATGCAATAATGTGATAAAATGGAGCTGATCTGATGATGTATCTAGACGCTGGCCCTAGGAACGTCAATGAAAGCTTGTTTTTAAATAGGTTTTATAACATTAAAACGTCAAATGAGCCAACAGTGTACCTACCAACAAAGCAAGAAGGCCACATTATATACATCGTCATACTGGAGTACTAAAATTAAATCTATCACTACTAGAGTAGTACAAACTACAAATCCAAACGAATCAGTAAGCAGAAAAAAAATTCTACCACTTAGTAATTTCGATTGAGATGACAATCAAGGACACGTCCTTAGCCCGTAATCGATAATTACAGTCACTATCCTTTTCAATATTCATTTATAAACGCTATCTCTTGTCTTTTGCGCCATCAACTTAGAATCTCGTAAATACGCCTTAAGATTTACACCTACACAAAAAAACTGTTAGAGCTCCCCGGCTCAATCTTCATCTGAAGGCTTGGTTGTAAATCGGACCTTTTGGTTTTAAAACGGCGTATTAAACAGAACCTGGTAAAACGACTTTCATATGTATACGACACTTAAAAGAAATGGTGACTTAAATTATAATACCAAAAAAGAGAATCTCAATGTGAATGACTTGGTCAATCTCATCTAAGTTTTAAATGTCGTTGCACTAGAACAAGGTAATGACAAATAGCGTCAGTTCCATTACATTCCATTCTACAAAAATCATAATCATCATTTCAGTCCTCCACTGCTGAACCCTCCTGCAAGGAATGTCACAAAGCACAGTCCTGACAATTCGATAATGCAGAATCATGGTAATGGGGGGTGTAGAAGACACTAATTTTTTTTTTATAGGACAAGGGTGACAAACGA